ACTTTACATCCCTGGGACTGTCTTCCTAACTGCCAGTTTGTATTTCCTAATACTTTTTTCACCCTGTCCCCCAATGCCCCTCCCACCTGGCAGCCGTCGGTTAGTTCAATGTCTAGGCGAAGGACCGGCTGGCTGTCTCTGAGCACAAAGCAGGTGACAAAGCCGGTGCTTTGGGGGCAGCCCTGAGATCACGACATGCGTAGCCAAACAGGAATGCACCCCTAAGCCAAAAATGATGCTTTCCAGGTCATACAGACTCATTATGGGGGGTAAAAAAGGAGCGGGGACTCTTGCGGACAGGAACTCTTGCAAAGCACGGTGAAGTGTCATGTCCGCAAGACACCGTTTGTGGGCGCATCACTCCAACCATACAAATCACAAAGAAAGCACCAGACAGGGTCCTTCGAGGAGAAGTGAGCAAACGTTACACGGGGAACCATTCAGATACCCAGGCTCCGGGTCCAAGGGCACCCAAGGTCCTCAGCACCTGTCTTTATTAGAGGAGACACAGAACAAGCTCCCTGAACTGAACTGGCTGGCAAACATGGTGCATGTCGGCCAGCAACAGACACACGTAAACTCACCCTGACATTTTACCCATTGTTTTTTATAACAGGGACCCGTGTGACGCCACTAGAAGAAAGCCATTTGTTTACCCAGGACACCCAATCTTATCCACCACACGGTTCAGCCCCCCACGGGCGGCCCAGTGAAGATCTAGAGATTTGTCCCAAAGGTAAAACCTGCTCATGACAATTTTGTCACATTTCTCTCAGGAATATAAGAAGGCACTTTTTAGAATGATGCTTTTACACACACACACTATCTATCTATACCTATGTATCTATCATCTATACCTATCAATCATCTACCAATCATCTATGTATCATCTCCCATCTATCTATTATCTATCTATCTATCTATCTATCTATCTATCTATCTATCTATCATTTATTATTAGAGTAGAAACCCAAATTGGGGTAATCAAGTAAGCATTCTTCTAGAATAAGTGGTTCTCAACTGGAGAGGATTTGACCCCAGGCGACACGAGGCGATGTCTGCANACCCAAATTGGGGTAATCAAGTAAGCATTCTTCTAGAATAAGTGGTTCTCAACTGGAGAGGATTTGACCCCAGGCGACACGAGGCGATGTCTGCAGACATTTTTGGTTGTCACCACTTTGGTGGTGGCGATGGTAGAGGGGGGACGCTCCCGGCACCTGCTGGGTGTGGACCAGGAACACTGCTCAACACCCTACAGGGCCCAGGACGCCCCCCATCGGAGAGCCACTCAGCCCCAGACATCAGTGGTGTGACGTTAAGAGACCCCACTTTGAGATCCTACGGGCTTATTTTGATGAGGCTTTCGTGACTCCAGGCATGTTTGTCTTACATTCTTGGAAACGGTCCCCAAACACGCAGCCTTGTTTTAAATTTTTTTCACGGAGCTTCGTAAGAGATTATACCTCCCGCTAACATCTGCAAACAGCACTTGCCCATGGATGAACGCGAAAGCACAGCTCACGAGACACCACAGCAGAAGAGACGGAAACCAACGGTGTCACCTTTGTAGAGCCCGTTCCAGCCGCCCAGCTGGGCCCCGCCGGCCTGNGAAGGTGGGTGACTGTAGTGATATTCTGCAGTGAGGGATGTAGCACTTTTTCTAGGATGAGCTCGCGACTTAATTATCCTATATGTATTTCTCAAATGCGTTGGCTGATGATTGAAAATCTTCTGCACAGAATTCCACAGCGTGAATACCATCTCCTCAGCTATAAGAATAACACAGGTGACTGCAAATTTGTGCTTTTCTACCCTATCACGAGAGCGTGTGGACACAGTAGGTTACTATCTGGATGGCTGCTGCAATCACGAAAACTCTGACTTGGACACAACCTTCATCTGACTTGGCGTAGGCAAAATGCAAAACATTCTGAGGCTGAATGCCGCTTCTCCGATCTGAAATTGGCAAAGGTCATTTGGCAAGATCGGTGGTCAGGGAGGCTTCCCCAGATGTCCGCTGCTGAGGTCTTGCAGAAAAGCTGTGTTTTCCTAGTAAAATTACACTCAATCAGCTGCCTGGACCCTTCGCCTCCTTTGTTCTTCCCCCTTCTTTCCTGCGTGGAGTGACGGTGTGATGCCTGGAGGGGCAGCAGCCGTTTTGCCACCACGCGGTTAGAAGCACAAGAATGCAAGCTGGCATGCCAGCGCTGTCTGACGAGAGACTGACAAACAGCCCAGGCTCCTAATCACGGTGTTGGGCACTAAACCAGCCCTGTGCTTCCAACTTCTGGAATTCTTATCATGAAAAGATAAACCAAATTCTACTTGTTTAACCCCCTATAGTTAAGTTGGGAGGGTTTGTTTGGGGGTGGGGAGCTGTTCTCGTGTGATACTCACCGTTGAACGGGTCCCTAGCTGGGACAGAATCTAAAAAGAAGACGTCTTTGTTAGTTTTCTATTCTACGTGGGAGACGCGTCCCCTTTGATGTGAAGACGGGGTCACAGCGCGAGGGATGGATCGCACGGGAGAAAAACCCATGTCTATCCCGCACATTAAGTCCCGTCCAATCAAGTCGGGAGGCTGGAACTTGATGCGAATGTCTGTGCGTGAGCTTTCTTTACAGGTGCAAGGAAACCGGTGTCGTTTCTTAATTGACATTTGTTTCCATGAATCCCGTAGCATGAGGGTGTGACAGGGGTGATGAATAGAGAGAAGGCAGCTAGCTCTCCAT